TGTTATATGCTTTTTTTCAAATAATAGATTTGCGTTTTGTGATTTGGCTGGATCAGAACGATTGAAGAAAACATTAAACATTGGAGATAGATTAAAGGAAGCACAAAATATTAATACAAGTCTTTTAGTATTAGGAAGATGTTTAAAAACCATCCATGAGGGACAGTTATCAAAACAGAAAATAGAACATGTTGGACCATTCAGAGAATCAAAATTAACAAGATTGTTTCAGAAAGCATTATCTGGAAAAGAGCATATAGCTTTAATAGTAAATATTAATCCAATACCAAATTTGTACATAGAAACGCAAAATGTGCTTAGTTTTTCTGCAATTGCAAAGAAGATAGTTATAGAAAAAGAGAAAATACAGAAAAAAACTAAATCTAGATTTTCACAAATAGTTACACAGAGTATAAAAACAATAACTGACTGGGACGCTACAGAATTAGAGAGTGATGGTATGTTTTATATTATTAATGTTAATTTATAAATAGAATTCACAATTTTGGGTTGTTTTTACAGATTGGCAAGTTGATAATAACTTGGATTACATTCAACTAGAGGATTATAATGAGTTAATAAGTGAAAATGAAAGATTAAAAAAAGAAATCGTTTCTTTGAAAAGTTCTGCATTAAGTCGTGATCTTCAGATACGTCAAGAAATGGCTGATACGTATACATCTATGATGAAAGCTCTTGAAACGGAGTGGAGGTATGTATTACACTTTTTTTTTTCTATTCTAACATTTTTTATGTAAATTTTGTCAAATATAATGTAGGAGTAGAATTAAAAATGTGGAAGAACAACAAGAAGATGTACTTCACTACTCTGTAAAACAAGTTGAAGATTTTTATAAACAGAAATTGGAACAACTTAGTAGTCGGAAAAGAAGACGTTCTTTTAATAATTCAGATGATAAAAATATTGATGATTTAGAAATTGAAAATTCACATTTAACGTCGAAAATTATGTTCTTAAAAAATAGCATAAAAGAATTTAAGGAGACAAATCAAAACTTAATGGTCGAAAAAAATAAACTAACTTTTGAACTTGGTTTAACAAAAGAAGATCTGAAAAATATAAATAATTTATTAAATGCGGCTCAAAAAGACATCTGTTCTGATGAAGATACAAAACATTATATAGAACAATTAAAATCTCAATTGTCTATTAAGGAGGAACAGATTAAGGTATTTATAACTATATTATTCAGTTCGCAATATTTAAAATTTTTAAATTCGCTATGTCATTTCAGAAACTTAAAATATTTTTGAATGAGGCAAAACAAGAGTACATTGATATTACAACTCACGGGAGAGAAAAAGAACGTATAATTAATGAGCAGACAGAAGAGTTATTAGACAAACAAGAAACAATAGATGAATTAGAAGCAGAACTTGCACATATTAACATATGTTTAACAGAAGAAACTAAAGCAGCCGATATTTTAGAAGAAAAATTAGAGAATCAGAATAAAAAGATGCTAGATTATGAAAACAAAGTGCAAGATATGCAAGAGCAAATTAATAAGTTGGAAAATGAAAAATTATTGTCATTAGATGAATTTGAATTATTTAAAAAGACAGTTGTTGATATTGCAGAAAGTACAAAACAAGACTTAGAATATAAAGACAATGTATGTAATTATCTGCATATACGATACGTTGTTCAAGTTTACTGTAAATGTAAATATTTATGTTATAGGAATATAAAGACGTTAAAGATGAAGATCAAAATATTTTCATTGAAGCAGATTCATCTTCTGAACTTAAAGTAGAAGTAGTAATAGTGAATTCAAATAATAAGGATACACAAACAGGTATGTATATATAATTTTATTTTTCTTTAAACATAGTGTAATTTAATATATTATGAATTCTGTAGAACATGCATTTGATATTCAAATGGAAGAAAAACTAATTGCCATAGACAAAGAAAATTCTGCTTTGAAAGAAAAATTAGTTCGAAGTACAACTGAAATACAAAGCTTGAAGCAAGAATTAGAATTTGCTAAAGTCAAATTGAAAGATATATCTGAACAGATAAGTAATTTAAAAATAAATAACATGCAATCTAAAGATAATATTAACGATAATGTAAAGCAGGAAATAGTTGTAGAAACAATAGAGATAGGTTGCCAAGCATATACAGAATTTAATGATAATTGTGTACAAACATCTAAGAACGATGTATTCAATAAAAGTAGTCAGACCATTGAAAAAGTGCAAAAAGAAGAAATTAATCAAACAAGTTTTATTGAAGAAACTGATTACGATGTGGTATTAGATAAATTAGCAAAATTGACGGTAAAATACGATGACATTAAGGCACATTACGAAGAAAAATGTCTGGTTGGTAACAAAATATAATACGGTATAATTTTCTTTTTTATCTTTCTATAATTATTTTCTTGCTTTTTTGTTTTCAAGTTGTTGGAAGAAAAGAATCAAGAAGTACTAACTTTAAAAGAAAAACTTATTGAAGTAAATACTGCCAATAAGACTAATGCAGTAGAATATAAACGATCGATTGATTTGCTTGAGAAAGAACTTTCTTTAATAAAGGAAGATAAAATGCAGATTGAAGAGACGTTAAAAAATACTGATGATATTAAGTTTTCTTTAGAAATAAAAATTAGCGATTACGAACGACGACTTAATGAAAATGAACAACAACTGTCTCTCGCTAAAAGTGATTATAATCAGTGTACGGAAGTACGTT